CTGTATTCTTTGAGTGTCAAGAATGTCAAAGTTATAAAAGAAAAAAAAAGCCGGGCGCGGTGGCTCACGCCTGTAATACCAGCACTTTGGGAGGCTGAGGCGGGTGGATCACAAGGTCAGGAGATCGAGACCATGGTGAAACCCCGTCTCTACTAAAAATAGAAAAAATTAGCCGGGCGCGGTAGTAGGCGCCTGTAGTCCCAGTTACTCGGGAGGCTGAGGCCGGAGAATGGCGTGAACCCAGGAGGCAGAGCTTGCAGTGAGCCGAGATTGCGCCACTGCACTCCAGCCTGGGCGACAGAGCGAGACTCCGTCTCAAAAAAAAAAAAAAAAGACTGAGGAGTGTTTTCAGATTAAAGGAGACTAAAGAGACACAACAACTAAATGCAATGTGCAACCCTAGCCTGGATGTTGGCCTGCTCCAGCAATGGCACCCCTTGTCTGTGGATAGGATGACCTGCCTGGTGATCACTGGCATTCCTGCCTGAACTGCCTCCTTTCATGATTGCAGAGCTGTGCCCCTCTCACATATGCTCAACTTGTTTGTAACATTTAGATTAAGACACAAAGGAGGCTGCATGCAGTGGCTCACGCCTGTAATCCCGGCACTTTGGGAGGCAGATGCAGGAGGATCACCTGAGCCCTGGAGTTTGAGACCAAACTGGGCAACATGGCAAAACTCGGTCTCTACAAAAAACACAAAAATTAGCCAGGTGTGGTGTCATGTACTTGTAGTCCCAGCTACTCTGGAGGCTGAGGTGGGAGGATCACCTGTGCCTGAGGAGGCTGGGGGGGCAGTGAGCCGTGGGTGGGCGGTTCCAATCCAGGGTGGGTGACATTGGAATTTGGGGGTTCAAAAAAAAAAAAAAAAAAAAAAGACACAAAGGGATGTTTGGTGCCAAGACATGAGGAATGCTTGATTCACCTGGCAATGTCTGGGATAAAGGACAGAATCACCACGTGGGTCCCCAGATGACAAATAGTTCTGAGTTGACAGTGGGGGTCCCCCTTGAAGCCTCAATTGGAGGAAGCAGGTTGTTGCAGTTATGGACCAGGAGGGGCAAGGAGTATGTGCATGATCCACATCAACCGATGTGAGCACTCGCTCCCTGGAGTGTGGCTGGAGGCCCAAGCCCAGCACAGTTGTGGCACAGATGGGCAGAGGTTGGGGCAAGAGAATACCATGTTTAGTAAAGCTGCTTGCGTATGCCTGCAGTTTAGCCTACGTTGGTGACCACATGGCTCCGACATGCAGTCCAGGCCAGGATGGACGGCCTGGGTGGATGTGGGATCCAAGCCACTCTCAGCTGTGCCCCTTGAGGAGGCTGCTGCATCTGTGTCCCTGTAATACGCCCCTACCACACCCATCACTTCAGGAGGCAAGACTCTGGGGCCACAGCCACATCAAGGCTAACAGGGATTGGAGGGAAGGGATTGACGTCTGGGACACAGGGGAGCCTGGTAAGAAGGGGTGATATGGATCCAGAAACTCCACTACTGGGTATACATCAAAGGGAGATGAAATCAGAATGTTCAAGAGATGTCTGCTTTCCCAGTTCACTGCAGCACTATTCACAATAGCCAAGAAATGGAAGCACCCTGGTGTCCAGTGATAGATGAACGGATAGAGGTAATGTGGTGCATATACATAACAGAGTACCATTCAGCCTTAAAAAACGAGGAAATCTTGTCATTTGTGAAAACATGGGTGAATATGGTACACATTATGCTAAGCGAAATAAGCCAGGCACAGAAAGACAAACACTGCATGATCTCACTTACACGTGGCACCTATAAAAGCTGCCCTTATACAAGTAAAGAGTCAAATGCTGGTTACCATGGGCTGGGAGGAGAGGGACTGGGCAGATGTGGGTCAAAGAACACAAAATTTCAGTTAGACAGGAGGCATAAGTTCAGGGATCTTGTACAGTATGGTGACTATAGTTAACAACAACGTATTGTATTCTTGAAAAAAAGGAGTGATATAGGGGTACCAGAGATGTGCAGGACGACTGAAGATCATGGTCCAGCCTTGCAGGACCCCGGGGGACAGGGCGGGCACTCAGAGGCGGACCTCCAGCAGGTAGCGCAGGCGGCACTGGCTCTCCTGGTAGATGAGGTACTCGCTCTGGGAGAATGTGGAGCTGCTGAACTCTGGGCAGGGCACAGGCTGGCCCTGGGGCACCACCACTCGCTGGCCATCCAGCTCCAGCTCTGTGTCCTGGGTCGGATCTGCAGGGCATAGCAAGGGCCAGGATGGCCCAGGGGTCACTGGTCCCTGGCCTTATGAGTAAGTCCTGCCCGCTACGCTCTCCACGTCTGTCACAGGGCACGCCTGCTCATTTCCACCTTGCCCACCTCCCAACCACTGCAGGGGCTGGGGCTTCTGCCTGCGGTGTCTGCCCCGACTTCTCTCTGGGAAACTCGTACTCGTCCTTCAATGTTCAGTCAAGACTCCTCTCTTTGAAGCCCTCCAGGATGACCAGGAATGATTTGTTGAACCAGTGGATATTTGTCAAATGACAAACTGAGTGACTGCAGGGAAGCTTCTTTTTGTCCCTCTTCCCAGCCCTCTCCCTGAAAACGTCCCAGCCCCTAGCTCGGCCCCACCTCTCTCCTTGGGCTGTCCAGCTTCTGAGGACTCACCAGGCTCGGTGTGGCCTCGGGCAATGACACTGTCAAAGCCGGGAGGTGGGCTCTTCAAGCTGGGGTTGTCCGTGGTGATATGGTGCTCTCTGCCCAGGGCCACCTCACCCAGGAACATGTAGCCGATATGGTGGGCCCCACAGTTCATGCCAGTAACTGGAGGACACAGGGAGGCACCAGTGGGCAGCTCGGCCTTCCTCCTGCTGACCCACGGGGCCGCTCTCTGCTGCGATGTTATCCCTTCTGGCTTTGCTGCTCCAGTAAGAAAAGGCTCACTCTCCTCCAGCCGTCACTCCCTCCTTGTCCTGGCCCACTCCCTCCCACCTTACTGTGCTCCCTATGGCCAGGCCTCTGCACCCTCTGCTGTCCTCACCAAGGTCAGCAATGGCCTCCCAGTGACCAAACCCGGGGCAAGGGCTTTTCTCCCTGGCCTGCTCTGCTGACTTTGCTCCTGACCTCATCAGTCCCTACCTGGGACTTCCTCGCCCTGGCTCTCCGGAGCCCTCCACCCCGCCACTCTTTCCTAAGTTCCTCTGCCCTCCTGGTGGACCCCTTGCTCTTGGTGACCTCAGGCATCCTAGAACTTCAGCCCCATCTGTTCTGGGATGAATCCCTTGTCCTTGCTCTCTTGGCCAGCTGGCCTCCAATGATGAGGTCAACCTGGGCTGAGGAGCTGGTCTGGGGAGGTCATTTTGGTGAGGACACTCCTGGCTGGAAACTCAGAAGTCACTGGAGACAGCATTGACCCTTTCCCACACGCTCCCCGTCCCACCTCCTACATGTACCTCTCACGGGCTCCCTCCCCTGCACCTCCCAGCCCTTGGGCCAGGCACACATCACATCCAGCCTGGATGAGAGCATGGCCTCCCTTCAGCCTCTGGCTGCTGCCCCTGTCTCCACAGCTGTAGCCACTGGGATCCTGCTACAGACAAGTCCAGCTGGGCTCACCATCACTCTCTGGATAAAGCCTCATCGATCGTTCTGTGCCCCTAACCCACCCTGCCCCCACTAGGCATTGCTCTGAGCTCCAGTATCAGGAAGTGTTTGGAAGCCCTGACCTGCCACATCCTCATATCCTCCCAGCCTCTCTGCCCATCCCCTTGCCTTGACATCTCTTTTTTATGTTTATTTTTTTCAGATGGAGTCTGGCTCTGTCACACAGGCTAGAATGTGATCATAGCTCATGGCAGCCTTAAACTCGTGGACTCAAGCGCTCCTCCTCCTACAGTGACTGTAGCCTCCTGAGTAGATGGAACTACAGGTGTGTGCCACCACACCTGGCTCAAAGGCTCCCCCTTTACCCCCTCCCAGGTCTGGTTGGTGCACCCATCCTATCTGTATCACCTCCCCCAGGAAGCCATCCCTGACCATCAGACACTTCCTCTAAGAACCCCGCCGCCAAAGCCCAGGACAACCCACTGAGCACTGTAGTCATTAACCATTAAAGGATTCCTCTCTTGGATTCACCATGAGCTTCCAGTGGGCAAGGACTGGGTCCAATCCACCTTAGTGCCAACCCTCCCAGGGCTTGGCCCAGAGGGGCACCTCACCATAGCCAGCTGACTTGCTGTTCTCTGAGGCAAAGTAGATTCCCTTGCCAACACGCCCACCAGAATGTGGCATGATGCGGAGCCCACTAGTGAGGATGGCGGCCACCACGGCCGTGTTGGTGCCATGCCACAGCAGCTTCCGATTACCCAGTTTGGAGTGGGCCTGGAATCTGTCTTCCTGAGTGGAGAGGAAGTGAGAAATGGGAGTCCTGCCACCCAAGCACTCAGGCGCCTTGCCCTGCTGCTCAGAGGTGTGACCAAGGCCTAGCGCCCCTCTGCTTACTCACACGCACTCATGGCCGGCAAAAACTGACCAGAGTTGCTAAACGATTTGCTAAGGGGCAGATAAGCCAAGGACATCTTCCTAAGGCACAGTGATGATGGGGAAGGGGGTGGAGGAACCTCCCTCACCTCCCCATCTCGGTTTACTTTCCAGACATGTTGAAGAGTAGGGCACCTGTAGTTGCTGCCAGTCTGATCTAGGTAGGTCTGTATCACCTGTGGGGAGAGCAGAAGCTGGTTGCCAGGGTGGGAGGCTCAGGAGCTAATCCCCCTCTTTTCTTTCCCCAGTCCCAAGCCCTCCTCAGGCCCTGGAGACACAAGAAGAGAAGGCTGAGGGTGAGTATTCCTCTGGGCACCTCAAGGGCAGGTGGGCAGAGGGACGGTGCCCACTGATAGCCTGGCCCCTCTATGGGGCCTAACTCACCTTGTACTCAGGTGCTCCAGAGTCTAGCAGCTGCAGCTGGCACTTGAGAAGTTGGTAGTCTCGGTCCAGGGGGTGTGGCACCTCCTCCACCATCTTCTCCTGCACAGGGGCTGCCTGCATGGCCTGGGCCAGCTCGATGTCTGCCAGCACCTAGGATGATGGGCCCTGGCAGCTTGTCTTCCCACTTGACCTCTGGACTGCCCTATCCTCTCTCACACAACTGGTACTGCAGCCACCCAAACTGTGTATCCACCTCTCCCTTCCCACCCTATCTGTCTGCCTGGCCTTCCCCACCCATCTGTCAGCCTGCCCAGGCAACCCATCCCTGTGGGCCTTCTCGGCTACCTGTACCTCATCTCGCTCGCCTAGGGTGTCTGTTCACTGCCCCACTGCCTGCCCGCACCCCTGCCAGCCCTCACCAGCAGCATGTCCTTCTTGGCCTGCAGAAGCTCAGGGGAGTTGATGGGCGGGGGCCGGCTGCGGCCGAAGTTGTGCGGGATGACAGTGTAAAAGTGGGAGGACAGCTCCTCCAGGCTTTGGCCACCATCCGTGGGGCCTTTCAGGGCCTCCTCCAGAGCCTCCAAGGCCTCGAAGCCCCGTGCAATCTGTTGCTTGCTCAGCTTTCCCAGGGGCATCTTCTTCACATCTGGAGGGACAGGGGAGTGGGGAGACTCAGCCCCACAGCCCTGCCACCCTGAAGCCCCTGCCACTCTGCCTGCCTCTCACCCCTCACCCAGGTCCATGAGGGCCATGGTGTTCTTGAACATCTCCTTGCTGAAGATGTTAGTGACGAGCTTCTGCGTGGCTGGGTCCAGGGAGCAGGGCTGCACCCGCTTAGCCACAGTCCTCACTGGGCCTCCATCCACCTGAAGATAGAGGGCACATGTGGGCAGGAGCAGCTGGGCAGGGCATGACACCAGACAGAGACCGGCCAGCCTGAGGCCAGAGGGGAGTTCTGTGGCTGAGGCTGCGCAGCTGGGCAGTGGCAGAGCCCAACCAACGGGGACTCTCCAACCAGTCCCCTCCCTCAGCCCAGGGCCCGCCCACCTTCCCTGGCCATCTCACCTTCACCACAGCTTCCTGGGCCTCATCCTCTCCCTGTACTTCGATAAGCGTGTACTTGCCCGGATGAGCCACAAAGCGGTCCCGCTCCGCCCACTTGTTCTTGGTCTTTTCCCGAAATTTCTTCTCAAAGTCCTTCTTTGCATCTTCTAGCCTTGTGAAGTGGTTGATCTTCGACTGGCCTACCTCTCCCTGAAACCGACAGCCTTCAGGGGTATGTCCACCATCAACATTTACTGGCCTGTGTGTTGGGCCAGGCCCTGTGCTGAGTGCCCCGGGACAGCTGGGGGTGTCCCCCCACTCAGTAGCTGTGGCCTTTTGGGGACCCTGGGGAGTATGTGCAGAGCAGGCGGGGCACTCACCACACGGCCCCAGCGGTTCCAGCAGGTGAAGTGCTGGCCATCTTGGAGCAGCTGCATGATGTAGAACTTGTTGTTGTTGTTCCCGATGTTGGTCTGGTTCAGGGTGCAGTCGTAGTCCTCATGCACCTGGGCCAGAGGGGAGGTGGGGGGCAGGCTGGCTGGGGTCAGATGGGGTGCCTGGCTGCACACCGAGAGGGCTCTGATGGGGACAGGAGTCCAACAGCAGTGGGAGTCAGAGGGACTCTGTCTTGGAAGCTTGGGCGGTCACTGCTCTTCCGTAGGGGATGCGGTGTGAGAGGACATGGCTAAACCCTGACATGGGGGCACACAACTGGGCCCTGGATGGGGGAATCTGAGAGGGACATGGCTCTGCCCTGAGGGGACATGGGTGAGCACCCAGGAGACTGATGTAGTCAGAGCCTTTCCCTAAGTGTGGTTGGGGGAGGCCTGCATGGGGTCTGAAGGGCAGATGTGACCCGCCTGGACCTGATGGGACACAGCCCTGATGTCTGGGGTCAGGAGAACATGGCCTTGCTCTGGCGCTTACCTGGGGGCCTTGGGCCCCAAAACCAGAACTGAGCCCTGAGGGAGTGGCCTGGGTGTGTTTGTGCTTATCAGCGGGCAGGCTCTGGGCCTGACTGGGGACTGCAGCTCACCTGGGTCTCAGGGTTGCTGCTGAGTGGACATGTTGGATCCACACGGATTATGTGTTTCTCTGCGGGCATGGCCTTGAGGGCCTCAGCGGTGGAGCGGAAGGGGTCCTCCTCCCTTCCCCCCTGCCGGCCCTTCTTCTCAGGGCCCTCAGTCTGTACCGAGCACTTTCGCTTCGGAGCCATGGCTGTCCTGGGGCACAGAGAGGCCCTTAGGCCTCCATGGTCTCCTCATCCCTAACCATCCACTCTCACTCCCCACCCCCGCCCTGGGCCAGCACAGCATCAACTTGCCCCACCCCAGGCTGGCCCTTCGGTGGCCTTCCACTGCGTCCTCTGTCCACCCTGACGGCATTCCCAGTCCCAGACCACACCCGGCTCTTTGTCACTCAGAAACGCCCCTTTCCCCAGTCCCAGGTGCAAGATTAGGACTCTGTCCAATCTGCCCACTCGGATCAACAGGGTCTGCCTGGCTCCCTACCCTCTCCAGCTCACCTGTGTGTCCCGAGGGGTAGGGAAAGTGAAAGGAGGATCTCTGTCTTCCACTTCAGGGCTCCTCCCACTGTGTCAGCTAGTTCAGCCCTGGCATGGTTGCCGGGCTGAGTCACTGAGCTATGGGGGAGGGTGGGCAGAGGCTCCTGGGGGCAGGATTCTTGGGGCCAGATTTATCCTCCGGAGCTTAGAATCCAGTGCTGGGAAGGCCAGCCTGGTCCTTCCCAATGGACTCAAGAGTTCTGAGGAGCCAGAACTCCAGATCAGTGGTCTTGAACTGCCAGAGGGCAAAGGCCACTCCCACCAGGCCTTGCCCTGCCCTGCCCTGCCCTGACCTGCCCTGCGGAGGGCTGTGGGCAGGACCGTAGGACACTCACCTAAGAAAAGCAGGGACATGGGAGAGGTCTTGGCTGCCACCTCACCTGGTTGTGTGCGCCTCCCTGGGCAGTCCCAGGTCTAGCAACTCTCCATGAGCCTTAGGAGTGAATTAGGGAGGGAATTCCCCAACAATCGCCAGAGGCCGGGGATGAGCTTGTGTGGGGAATTAGACATCGGCTATTTGGCCACCAGTGTGGTGAAGCAGAGGCTGGGGCAGGCCGAGTCAGGCGACCAGTCCCATGGACGGGTGGACACTCGATCTGGCATATCCAAGGCCAGGGCAGTCGCATCCGTAGCGCTGCTCCTGTGGCCGGGGCCTGCAGCACGCATCTGCCAGTCGCCCGGTGATCTTGGGCCCGGGTACGCAGCCTCCCTCTCCCCGGGCCTGCTTGGATCCCCGCTGGGTCTAGTGCCAGGCTGCCCAAGGAGGGGAGGAGTCACGCTCTAGAACGCGAAAGGACTCCGCGTCTCTGGCGCCCCCCAGCGACCAAGGCGCGCAAACACAGAGAAGGCTCTTTCTCCGACTTCGAAGTCGGCCAGCAGCAGAGCGCAAGCGCCAGCTTCAGGCCGGAAGCGCCCGGGAGATAAGGGCTTCCTACTCGAGCCTGGTGCGGGAGCCTAGGAACTTCAGGAGGCGGGGCCACAAGCGTGCATCCTATGGGTGCTTGGGGGCGAGGCAGAGCCTGCCTAAGAACCCAATGGAGCAGTAGGAGGCGGGGCCCGGCGGGCGGTGGAAGCCTATCAGGACGCGGGGTCTTGCCATGCGGCTGGGGAGCTGGGAGGGTTCAGCTGCCACGTGAGTTCCCCGGCGGCTGCTGCTACACTCTTGGTAGGCAGCATGTCGGCAACAGCGGGAGCTCGTAAGCGGGGAAAGCCGGCCTCTGGGGCCGCGGCTGGCGCGGGGGCAGGCAAGCGGCGGCGAAAGGTGAGCATGGCGCTTCTGAGGCCTGCGGTCAGCCCTGCTACTGGGACAACCGTCATCCCATCCAGGGGACCTAGGTCCAGGCCCTTCCCCAGCCCTTCGCCCGGGATCCCTGCTGGACTCAGCTTCGTCCCTCTCTCCGCGGGCCAAATCCTAGAAAGCCGTGCGCTTAACCCGGGAGCCACGGCCTTTCCCAGTCCTGGGGTTCTGAGGGACCCGAGGGGGGGCCCCTGGTCATGCCAGGGGGGTCGGGACCCCTGACCAAAGAAAGGACCGTATAATTCCCAGGCCGACTCTGCGGGGGACAGAGGCAAATCCAAGGGTGGCGGCAAAATGAATGAGGAGATCTCCAGCGACTCTGAGAGCGAGAGGTGAGCTGTTCTTTTGCACGTAGTGGGAGGGAAAACTGAGGCCCATGGTGTGTGGAAGACTCAGTGAGTCCTAGCAGAGCTGAGCCTAGAACCCAAGACTCTGGCCCTTGGCTCTGAGATCGTGGCTCTTTCCTTTAGTTTCTGGTCCTGCAGTCTCGTTTCTGCGAGGTCTCTGGGTGGGAAGGACCCTAGGCCCCAGTCCGAGGCCATTGAGACCTCCTTAGTCTTTGGCAGGGACTGGACTGATTGTGAAATCGCAGGAAAACAGAACAAAGCTGTCAAGTATTTCTTGCATCCCTCTTCACTTGCCAGTTTTCCTGCAATTTCACAATTACTGGACTCCCCGTCTCTTAACGCGCCAGGCACTGTCTTTACTGTTGGAAATGCAGAGATAGGCAGGCAGGCGAAGAGAGTGTGTTGTAATGAGGTGTGTATTTTATAGTTGTGTGTTCTGGGAACAGAGGAGGGACTTTTAAATAGTGTCTTGAGAGATGAGGAGGAGTCTTTCACGGAGAGGTAGGGAAGGCCTTCAGGGAACAGCAAAGGTAGGCAGGCAGGTGAAGACAGGGTTGTGGTGAGATGTGTAGCTTATAGCTGTGTGTTCTGGGAACAGAGGAGGGACATTTAAATAGGGTCTTGAGAGATGAAGAGGAGTCTGTCATGGAGAGGTAGGGAAGGCATTCAGGGATCAGAGGAAAGTCTGAGGTGTAAGTGTGCCAGAATGGGCACTAGGAAAGATGGAAGGGGGCTGGGCCTGGTAACTCACGCCTGTAATCGAAGCACTTTGGGAGGCCAAGGTGGGAGAATTGCTTGAGGTCAGGAGTTTGAGACCAGCCTGGGCAACATAGCGAGATCTTGTCTGTACAGAGATAAAAAAGGTTAGCTGGGTATGGTGGTCTGCACCTGTAGTCCCAACTACTTGGGAGGCTAAGGTTGGGGGATCCTTTCCCAGGAAGTTGAAGCTGCAGTGAACTATGATCATGCGCTGCTCTCCAGTCTGGGTGACAGAGCAAGACCCTGTCTCTAAAAAACACACACACACACACAAACAGGAGGGCTGGTCATAGGTGCATGCAAATTGTAGAGGGCTTTGAATGCCTCCCTCATTTCTGCAAGGGATGGGTATGGTTGCTTGCAGGATTTCAAAGAAGGGTCAGGCAAGGGGTCAGGCCTGACCCTGTGGGTGGGAGGCTCTTGGACCAGAGAATCCTAGTGCCTTCCCTGTGAGCTGACTTTAGAACCTCACTTCTAAGATTGAGTACGTGTTGCCTTAATTTGCTCACAGAAAGACTTAATGTACTTTTCTTGTTTTTGTTTTTGAGGCAGTCTCACTCTGTTGCCCAGGCTGGAGTGCAGTGTTGCGATCTTGGCTTACTGTAACCTCTGCTTCCCAGGTTCAAGTGATTCTCCTGCCTCAGCCACCTGAGTAGCTGAGATTATAGGCCTGCACCACCATGCCTGGCTAATTATGTATGTTTAGTAGAGATGGAGTTTCACCATGTTGGCCAGGCTGGTCTCAAATTCCTGACCTCAAGTGATCCACCCACCTTAGCCTTCTAGAGTGCTGGGATTATAGGCATGAGCCTCCACACCCATCCATTAATGTACTTTTCTTAATCTGAAGGTTATTGTGGGTGAGTGTGTGACAAACTAGCGTGGGCTAAGTGCTTTTAAATATTTTTAGAATGTTGTGTTGTGAAGTGTGTTAGATACAGAACAGTGAATGAGATATATTTGTACTACAGAGAGTAGTGGTAAATTGGTGAATCTCTGTACACTTACCACTTAGGTTAAGAACTAGAACATTTGCAGAAACTTAGAAACCCCAACTGTCATTCTTAACTTGAGTTAATCATTTTTTTGGTTTCTTTGCTCTTCTTTTAAAAAATTAGTATTTTCCATTTAGGTATCATTTACATATAGTACCATTCACTTTTTAAAGTTATAGTTCAGTGAGTTTTGACAAACACAACAGTCCTGTGACCACCGCTACCCTGAAGATAAAGGGTTTTATCACCCTCCAAAACTCCTCCTGCTCCTTTGTAGTCAGCCCCTCTCCCTCCCCCCCAGTCTCTGCTAACCACTGCCCCTGGAGTCATGCATTTTCTAGCATGTCCTGTAAATGGAATCATAGTGTGTCTTCCTTTGCGTTTCTTTAGCATTCTGCCTCATGCGTATGAATCCTTCAACAATAGATTGATTGGTTTGGCGAGATTGAGTAGAACTCTGAAGTTAACACAGGTCTCTTGGCTGTGTAAGGGAAGGGCAGCACTAGCCCTGTTGGCTGAAGGCTTGCCAGGCACAGGGCACTGAATTATTTCTGGGGCATGGTCCAGCTTTGGCTTTGCTGAGAGTTTTCGAGGTCCCTTCTGGGGAAGTCAGGGGCAGGGTTACGAGTGAGTCCTGGGAAACCCAGTTAGGGGAGTGGACAGAGACTAGATGTCTGCAGGCACATGATCAGAGGGAGTGGGCTGCCCTGGATTCTGTGCGTCTGAGTGCCCATGACCTACCCCCAGCTCCCAGGAGCGGGTCACAGCAGGACCTGTCTTTGAGTGAAGTGAGTACTCTCAGCTGGTCCTGAGGGCTGGGTCATGGAAGGGAAAGCAGTAACTTCACCAGTAACGGTCAATCCCCAAACAGTCAAGGTTCACTTGAAACCTTGTTCCCAGGGTAAAGGATGGTGCTGTGGTGATGACAGTCCCGGTGTGTCTGCCTGGTGGATCCATGGATCCGATCCAGACTGCCCCCGTCATGTCTGGGGATGGTGTCATCTTTTCTGCTCTCTGTGTCACATCTCTGGTTTCTGGTATCCCTTCCCTTCTCTTTCCCAGTTTACCCTCTTGTTTGGGGAGCACATCCTCTATCCTTCTTAAGAAAGAGGGAGAAAGTTATGTGGCACTTTGCACACCTGGCAGTGTTGTCGTTGATTGATTGACTGGGCATGGCATTTTAGGGGTCAGTGTATTCCTCCAGAGGTTTGTGTGTGGGGCTCCTTTGTCTTCTTGTTCTCAGTATTGCTGTTGAGATGCCCGAGCATGTTGATTCCTGACTCTTTGTGTGTGACCTGATTTCTTTTGGAAGCCTGGTTTCTCTTGGAAGCCTCCTCTTTCCCCCAGAGTTGAGAGGCTTTAGTGATCTCTTTGGGATTTGGGTCTGTTTCCACCCCTACGTGGGGCACTGAGTGGGGCCTTTTAGTTTGGGGAGTCACATCCTTCAGTTTTCTGCTGTGTAGTCACCGGCCATGTGGGCTGGCAGGGAATGGGAAAGGTTGGATGGCAGGGCGGGCATTCAGAAGGCACGATCCTAGCGGCCAGAGGAACAAGGTGAGCCCCTCAGACCCAGCCCCTTCCTACCCAAAGCCTAGCTCCAAGGAAGCCTGAAGAGGAGGAGGAAGAGCTGGAGGAAACTGCACAGGAAAAGAAGCTGCGCTTGGCCAAGCTCTACCTAGAGCAGCTCCGTCAGCAAGGTGAGCCAGTGGGCAGGCTAGCCATGGGCAGGGCTTGTGCCTGCGCTGTTCTGCTTCCCTCTGCTGCAACCCCAGCCACTTGATGGGTGACTGACATGGGTTTCCAGTGGGTGCCCGGGCTGTCGGTGCTGGCTGCTCTGTGGGGGTGGCCAGGAGCTCTCATGGGCCTCCTGGGGAGCCTGCAGGGGGCTGATCCGATAAGTAAAGGCAGGAGGAAACCCTCCAGCCTGCCCTCCCCTCTGCTGAGGCAGCTGGAGCTTCCTGCATTACCCAGCCCTGCGGCAGTGGGATGGAAGGGGAAAGAGGCGTCTCAGCCTCAGTTTACTTGGTCTGGTCTGTCCTGCGCAGAGGAGGAGAAGGCTGAGGCCCGTGCATTTGAGGAGGATCAGGTGGCAGGGCGCCTGAAGGAGGATGTGGTAAGTGGAGGGAGAGGTGGGGAGGGCGGGGGTGGAGCTGATCTGCTCCCAGGGTCTCATCCATCTCTTCTCTGTGCAGCTCGAGCAGAAGGGCCGGCTGCAGAAGTCGGTGGCAAAGGAGGTGAGTGGGCATGGTACTTTGGTATAAGGTTAGAGGGAGTTGGGGGCCCCACCTGGGCTGGTGGGCAGGTGGCTCAGTGTGGGCTCAGTGTGTGGGAGTCTTTG